GGGGTCACTTCAGAGGAGGCTTCCTCCCTGGATCAGTATATCTGCCCCAATTGTATGGGGGAACCCCGGGTAGCAAACATTGGTGTTGTTCTGGAGCCCCCATCTTGGCCCAGGGTAAGACGGGTTACCCTGGCGGTTTTACAGGAATTGTGAGTTGGTCAGCTGGTTGTGACCCGCTCTAGCATACCCTGCCAGGCCAGACTCTTTACCTGGGAACTATCCCGGACTCTAGGGCCTGGAAGTGTTTAATTGGGAGCGATCCCAGACCCCTTTTTCCCAGGAGTTATCTTGGGTGTGTTTTGTCTGGGGCTTGCCCCGGCACTAGTCGTCCCTGGGCAGTCTGCCCGGGTGGGCGTTAACAGCGCCCCATCGTTGGAGATGGTTCCGGACCCTCCCTCGCACTGTGGACTCCCGCCTTTCAAAGAAAACGGGGGGGGGAGTGTAGTATCTGTGCGACTGTCCCGTGGTACGACTTACTGACGAGGCTACGTCAGATGGCGGGACAGTCGCACGGACCTCTTTCACCGCCAAGATGTCAAGCACACCAGACGTGGTACAGAGACGGTGAGTCAGCACGGGCCAGAACCCACTACAGAGTGTATTTGTATATTTGTAAATAGTGATAATAAATATATTGTATAAGTACTACACCCCCGGTAGTTACTTTAATAGGTACCACGAGGTCCTAACAATAAAGTAAAACAAGTATAAACAGTGGAATTCAGGTAATTATGCATGTATAAAACTAGTCTTTACTTAGTGGACAAATTATTTCATACACCATTTATACTTTAATGACAAAACGATCAAAATACGCATCGTAAAACGAACAGCAACAAATCAAACTTTAGGGGCGATGTCAAAAGCGTAAATTATGTACAAGTACATACTAGTATGAGTGTCAACAATAAAAACATACGTAGCTATATACTTACAGTAGATACAATAATATGCAATTTTTATTATAGAACTTAAAACTCAAAAAGTGAAGGAAAAAAAACTCAATCGGATAAATAGTTTCCAGAATCACTCGCGGACAAAAAAAGTACCCAGGAGGAAGAAAAATAGATTAAAAACAATATGTTTTCAAACTTCGTTTGGGGAACATAATTAGATTTCATCTTTAAAGGCACTTTTAATATTTGAGTCATTTACTTTTAGATCGAAAGTATAAAGTACGTTAAATCCTTATTTATACTTCATGTTTTGTTGAAGTAACCAATATAATTTAATCAACAAAGTAAACAAAGTACACATTGGAGTATAAATCATGTTACCGAATATTAGAATGCTAAATTTTCATTCGAATATTCGCCATTTACTATTCATTCGCGAATATTCGAACATTTGTTTAGGCTCTACAGTGTCACCTTATCTGGTGATCTCCTGATTATCATGTGCAGTTTCGATAGAACACAATCCAAAGTTGTTCATTTCTCATGCTCCACAGAGAAACAAACAATCCAATTTGATGATGAAGGTTAACCTTTATGTTTATATTCAGGAAATGATGGAATAAAGTACATCACCACTGAAAACAGAAACTTTGATGTCTGTGTGGCTGACTGTAGCTGGTGCTGTAGTGGTGATTAACGAGACTGGAAAATTCAGATTTAGATACACTAGTCATTCTTCTGCTATAAAGACAAATCATTTGAACCTTATGGCATCACAACAGACAGCCAGAGTCAGATCCTGACAGCAGACATTGATAATTACTGTATCCACATCATAGATCAGGGTGGACAGTTCCTCAGTTACATAGATGACTGCGACTTGAAGATCTATGTGGTTTATGTGTGGACAAAAATAACAATTTGTTTGTTGCTGAGTGGGGAGGAATGGTTAAGAAAGTTAGATATCTTGAAAAAGAGATATTTATTTTTGTATACATGTATAGTGTACATAGAACCAATATAATGGTACTCCTTGATGTAAATTCGAAACAAATAGTCCTTATAATATATTACTTTGAAAAGATGTAGATATGCTGAAGAATCCTTGAAAAGTATTGTTTGATAATAATAAAGAAATATCTATAGTATTTCTGAGTTTGGAAGAAGTGAAGTTTTGTATTAGTGTACTGGTATATAAATTGGTTATACAAATGTTTTATTGTACTTCTTTATCAAATTGCTATGATAATTTAATATTTGATTTTAAAAAACATCTTAATATATAATTTGAAAGTATGTAATATATATTTTAATAAACATGTGTATGGCAAGTAATGCAGTAGTTGATTGAGATGCAGGTTCTTTAAAATCACAACACAGACATATCAAACTTATTTTAAATCTTCATTATGGAATGTAGATTAAATTTTAGTTTGATCACATGAAATCTAAATTTCAAATGTATCTCACCTTCACATTTTTTAGCTTTCTGTACATTGTGAACGGAAATACATATTTTCCTTAGTATGTAGAACAAAATTAAATTACACTGAGACATCATAAAACCATTAGAGAATTTAGTAGACTTAAGGAGTAACTACACAACACGTCACCCACCTTGACGACAGTTAAAATTTTCTTACCATGATTTTCTGATTAACAATACCTATGTAGTTTTTGGAAATCAGGTCTTCCAACAATCTTCGGAATTCCCATGGGTTCCCATTGCGCCCCGTTATTAGCAGACCCTTAAGAAGAAAACGTTTGCTGTGGCTTTCAACTCCACATTTAGATATATCGACGACGTATCCTCACTTGCTGTAACAATAGTTACTTCTATTCATTATGTCGACTTGATATATCCCAGTGCACTTGAAATAAAAGATACCACAGAGTCTGACACATCTGTCTCATATTTGGATATTTTACTAGAAAAAGACGTTAATGATAACCTAACAACAAAACTTTATGCTAAATATGATGACTTAACTTTTCAATCGTCATCGTCATCTTCCCTTACTTATGTAGCAATACACTTTTATCACCTGCATATGGGGTTTATGTCTCCCAGTTGATTCGATACGCAAGAGCATGCTCTACCTACGAACAATTTCTAAAATGAGGCAAGCTATTGACAAACAAGACAAATAAGTTGGTGAAACAAGAATATCAAAGAATATCAAAATTTCCTTTAAAGTCACCAATGGTCGATATAATGACCTATCAGCAAATAAAATCTATTATTAAGTCGAATGCTGACTGACGTTTTTCATGCTAATTGTTAGGCCATTATTTACACACTGGATTGTAAACAGATTTTTCCTGATCATGAGAAGGAACACACGGCGGGTGTGACCGGTCGACAGGGATGCTTACTCTTTCATGGCACCTGATCCCACCTCTAATTCGATGTTTTAAGAGGTCCGTGTTTGGTCTGCTCCCGATTTGTATTGTTTCAATGGACTTTTGAGCTTGACTACTGTTCGATATCCTATATATAAATGAACTTGTACACGACAAGTAATGTAAAGATGATATTCATGCATTATTTTGGATTAAAATGCAGTATATTTAAAAATTACATATGGTTTAAATTTAAAGTGAAGGTACATGTACATGTATGTTTGTGTAATTGTTATTATTATGTGAAATTCACGTTTTATTAACTTACATGAGCTGGGGTCAAATAAACTTTTCTAATCAATGTTCTTCTATCATTAATGGTTGTTAACTTTTTACATTTTCCACTTCTGGAAAATCCTTCGGCCAATTTCAAATTAGCATCAAAGCACTTTGGGGTAAAGGGAATTTACCTTGCTGAAATATTCACACCTTCTCTAGTAGAAAGATAATTAGGAAATGGGGAGAATAGGTTGGGGGTAATTCACAAAACTTCTTAAGAACCAGTGGGCTTGAAAAGACAAAGTTTTAACATCAATTCTTCAATTTTAGGTTGATTACATTAAACTTTTTCCTTCGTATATAGAACAGAGCTGTATAACATAGTTAATCTGTTACAGAATTTGGGGAAGGCACTTTAATTATATTTCAGTTTTTGTGAAATACTTAATCTTGAACTTTCAAAGTTGAATATTTGTAAATGTAACAATGCTGCATATAAAAAAAATGCTTTAACGGGTTTATAAATGATATTTCAGCATCATGGGAATCAGCAGCTTTTATATATATATATATATATATATATATATATATATATATATATATATATATATATATATATATATATATATATATATGCTAACGAATCTGTCATATATACTTGTACATTTGCACCACACAATTATAGTTATTATGATTATCACAAAAGTTATCACATAACACGTCATGCATGTTTGATACATCAACAGAGCATTAGATTCACGTGTCGCAAATGCATAAATTATACACAATCAAAAAAAAAAATGCTACACTCCCTCGTGCTTGCATTAAGCTGAAAACCTGAATGACGCTGGGGGTGGGGTGGGGGGTGGGGGGTGGATAGGTTTATGCAAGCAAAGGGTCGGGATAGAGATTAATGATATAATTCCGCATCTTATATTTATTTAGAGCATTAAAAGAGAAACTTTTGTATACTTTATATGTATTTTTTAAAAAAATCTACGTTTATAAAGGTGTCCGAGAATTAATACTTTTATCTATAAAATGTTTAGTACTACCAGAAATCGCCTTGAAATGTCACACATTGTATTTTGCACATGCTCAACAAACATAAATATGCAGTGCAAATGTGCTACATATATAAATAAAAACCTGGGTTGAATCATAAGTTTGAATTACTTTCCGTTATACTTATAGGAGAGGGAAATGGTGTATGAGAAGTGATCCCAAGCTTAAGCCATATTTTATATTATTTTAAAACATCCAAGTTCAGATAAATTATTAAAAAAAAAAATTGAAGAATTTTAGTACCCTCGTATGTAAAACAAAAACTATTGTTAAAAATATATGTTAATTTTTTGAGTATTTAGACCCCCCCCCCCCCCCCAAAAAAAAAGCGTGTTGATATTAATTGGATTACTTTCATTTTGCATGGATTTTAGTTAAAAAAGCCTGTCTGTGAAAAATAAAGCAAAATATTAACAATCTTTTTGTATCATCTGATTTATTAATGATTTTACGGGAAATATATAACAATTATCAACATTATATATCAAATAAAAAGGATTGTAACAATCTTCACCGGTAATAGATACAGCAATGAGAATTTTCCTGAATTAAGGCATATACTTAAACAAACCAATAACACATCATAAAACTGGAGACCAGGTCTTCTAACAATCTGTTGGGATCACAATGGGCACTATTTGTGCTCTGTTATAACCTGACCTAAATGAAACTGACAAATCTGTCATATAATTATCATAATTGATGCTCTGTATAAAATATAAAAATTTAACATGGATGCAACAGCATTTTACCATTGGGTTTCAGAATCCTTATAACAATAATGCCAAGAACATGAAGGACAGTATTAAAAAACTCCTATAAAAAGTCAAGAACATTAAAAATTCTTTTATATAAACAAGTCAATGTTTCAGGTGCAGACCGATCAAATAATCAAAGCTCAAACTGCAAGACTGAAGTATATTACATGTAATATATGAATTAACAAAGTGCACAAAAAATTGGAGTTTCTAAATTGATACCCAGGTATAACTAAATTTTACTACATTCATCAATGTTTAAATAAATGTGTGACATACACAAATATCATTTCCATTTCAAAACACTCGGAAAAAAAATATACATGTATATACATGTACATAGTGACTGTGATTAGATAACAAGATTTTTAAGTCACTATTTTCTGAAACATACCTAGGTATTAACTTAAAAATCAGTATAAATTTATCATTATATGGAGAAAGTGCTACTTTAAGAATTTAAAAAAAATGTATGTTTTAATAAAGCAGTTCATTTTACCACATTTTACACTACCTCTTCAAAAGAGTTTTACTTAATATTCTTATTGCCTTTTTTTCTTTCCAAGTACCGAAGATTGAAGATAGTCATATATAATGGATGAATAAATTAAATACGAATGTTTTAGTGATTTGTGATTGTCAATATATTTCATTTCATGAAGAGATATATACGATATGCTGCACACTGTATTCTAACTTATTTTATTGACATTTTTAGTAAATGGCATACTATATTGTCTCAAACCTTCATCTACAAATTTGAGAATATCACAAAAAAAAAAATTATGTTAGTATGAGACTTAGAAACACCAATAAATTATAATGCTGGTTTATAATTATGAAGTGCTAAAAACTAGTAGTCCCAACCCGTGTTTGCACTAAATAAAATTTTGAATATGCTTAAAATAAGTAAACATACAGTATATAAAATATACAATTATTATTATTCATATAGAAAAGCATACAATTCTTTTAGTTTTGTTGGACAATACCCTAAATGTAACACAAATTCTTCACCATATCAAATTACTAGAAATTATTTAGATGTGCATGCATTCACAAATGAATTAAAGAATGAACACAACTGTGCATTATACAAAACATAATCTACATGAAATCTTTATGGCACTTTTGCTATTGCTGCTACACTCACAGCATCAGAAGTCATAAATATACCATATAAAGAACTGAGGTACATCTAAACCCCCACACATTGCATCCTCACCCTAAGCCCAATAATTTAAACAAACTGAAATCCACACAAATTTGTAATTTTAATTTTTTGTATATTGAAATGACTTACTTTGGCCATGCTATCCAAACCCAGCCCCAGGGTCCTTTTTACAAACAGAAATCTGCACTTATCGTGATGCTTGCATACAATAACCGTAGTTATGGCTCTGCATTTCTTAAGAAGAGAATTTTTTTGACTGCTATGCTCTGTCCATCGTATTTTGCTTATTTGCATGCTTATAATATTAAGCTAATCTTTGGTTTTGTTTCAGCTTCATGTTGATTGATACATTTTCCCAAAAGATGTACCTTTTAAACTTTGAAAAAATTCAAATCATTTACTGTTTTGCTGTGCTTGTAGATAATGAGCTTAATTTCTCTTTATATACTGATGACTTACAGATCAAGTCATGAGTTTCGTGTTGATTGACCTATTTACACAAAAGGAAAAAAAATCTAATTATTTACTTATTGTTATTTAGACTTTTTTGTTATGCTTGCATGTGATCAGCTGATTTTTATGGTGTACATTTATACAGATGACTAAGAGATCAAGTTTGAGTTTTTTGTTGATGAATCCATTTTCATCAGAATTCTGTCCCTTAAAATTCGAAAAAATTCTACTTACAGTATTAGTTTTTTTCCTTTTCTTTTTAAAGAAAGGCAACATAATCATATTCTAACTTGTTTGTTTCATTTCCAACATTTGGATTTTAAGATATTTTAAGCTCTAATATTGGCAAACTTTAGGCAACAAACATCAAACTGAAAGTTTCTTTTACCTGTCATAAATACAGTCATCAAAAATTCATTTTTTTGTGGATTAAGCTCATGCACATAAACATAAATTTGACACATTGATACATTGTGCATTTATCACAAAATAAAATGTAACCCAGGGTAATGATACACAACACTCTGTGTTACCTTACCAAGTAAAAATACACAAATACACTCAAAAGCATTCTGCGTTACTTTACCGAGTAAAGATAAACAAATACACCCAAAAACATTCTATGTTACCTTACCAAGTAAAGATATACAAATACACCCAAAAACATTCTATGTTAACTTACCAAGTAAAGATACACAAATACATCCAAAAACGTTCTGTGTTACTTTACCGAGTAAAGATACACAAATACACCCAAAAACATTCTATGTTACATTACCAAGTAAAGATAAACAAATACACCCAAAAACATTCTATGATACCTTACCAAGTAAAGATACACAAATACACCCAAAAACATTGTATGTACAGAAAAGGTGATACAAAATCTCAGCTGCCTTTCACTTCTTCCATTGTCACTTCAAAACATCACATTTTTTTAAAAACATATTTATGAAATAAGCTTCGGAATAATATTTCTAAATTAGTATACACAAATATATGCTTTGGAATGATGTAACTATATTTGTACAAGTATATACTTTGGCATAATGTACCGGGTAACTATATATGATTATACAAATTAATTAACTATATTTTACACAAAGGTAGAAACACAATCTTCTAAACAATATCATAATATGGAAAATGTAAGAAGCTTTAAAAATGACACAACTAGATATCATTGAGATGGTGTCCATTCCGAAAGGTCCTGCTTTTAGTAAAAGGGAATTATGATGAAAAGGACTTCTTAAGGGCTGAAATTTTCACCTTGACCTTTGACTTAAACCTTAACCCTGAGTACTCTTTGGGTAACGTATGAGCCAAATGGGACTAAGAGCAGAGAAAATATGCTCTGGACAAAGGTTTTACACAGACATAACCTTGACCTTTGATCTAGAAAATTGGTTAAAGTCACTGTATACCCTTAACCCAAATGGACACTACGTGATTCAATGGGGCCAAAAGAGGAGTAAATATGTTCTGGTCAAGGATTTATATAAAGAATTTTTTTACCTTCATCTTTGATCAAGAAAATGGTTCAAGGACACTGCACATCCTTTACCCTCAAGCACCCTAAGGTTAAAGTATGAGCAAGATTGAGCCAAGGGGAAACAAAAAAATGCTCACTACAAGAATTTTACACAGATTCTTTTTTTGTCTTTACCTTTAATTAAAAACGTTGGTTAAAGGTTATTGCACACTCTCTGCCAACAAACACTATGATCGAGAATGGGCCAAAGGCAGAGAAAATATGCTCAAACAAGGATTTTACATTGAAGTGGGTTTTTTTTTAAAACCTGACCTTTGACCTTAAAACATTGACTCAAGGTCAATGCATACCCTCTAGCTACCCAGGGACACTCTATGGGTGAAGTATGAGCAAGATTGGGCCATGGGAAGAGAAAATATGCTCCAGAAAAGGATTTTACAAAGAGCTGGGTTTTTTTTAACTTGAACTTTGACATATAAATTGGTTCAAGGTTACTGCTCACCTTCTACCCATGAGCACTCTATGGGTGAAAAATGAGCCAGATTGGACCAAGGAGAGAGAAAATATTATACAGACAAGTGATACAGGACAGACAGATAGCTAGATTGATCACTACAGAGCACCCGCAGAGCATGGCCCTAATATGGATTACTGGATCAAAAATTACTCATGCTAGACTCTGAACATACAAAATATTCCATCTTCATTTATTTATAAGGCATTCTGACTCTTGGAAAACCTCTTGCAGGTTGGATAAAAACAAAACATTTAAAAATGCTGTAAAGATGACTTGTTAAAAACTACAATGTTTAAAACATAAATTTCTAGAAATAATTTTTTTTTCAGAAAACAACTTTCATGTTTAAAAATCCCCTTTTTATCACAGGGTTGTACATAATACAGTAAGTCTGTAATATGCTACTAATGAGTGTTACATCCTCATCATGGGATAGACATGCATTTTATAGGTGTGCAATGGAAATTCCAATATATTTTTTGAAATAAAATTAATTGTATACAAGAAAGCTTATCCACATAAAAAATATACAATTATATATCTTGAACCATTAAATATTTTTCATAAGTTTGAATTTAAAACTTTTTTTTACAAACAATACTTTCATTTACTTTGGAGTCATCATTGTTCATGGGGGACTAATTGATTGTCAAATTCCGTGGATCGCCCTTACACTAAATTTTCATCCCCATAAACAATAACTTTGGTATCATATTGGCCCTTTAAATTGCCTGTGTTTACAAGTTATCCACATAATCATGTCCATGCCCCACTAACACTGACCCCCATGAATTAAAATGATTCCAGAGTAATAAATCATATTTGAAAACATTCCTCTTTCATTCATCACACAAGATAAACATGACACTAGTAACAGTTAACAAATCATTTGAATCAAATTATGCCCCTGTCATTCATCAAACAGCATGGCCAGTAATTCAGGTGCCCTTGCTATGAGGACCTTGTCCTCACAAATCTTGCGATAAACAGCATGATATTCCTCACTAATTCCTCGAAGCTTAGTAAGCAGATTGATAAAGGCAGAAAACTGGTACCCTGCCCTCCCTTTGTAGCGAGACTTCAGGAGGGCGGTTATGGTGTTTACTAGAACACTTTCAATCTTTTGAACTGTCTCTGGGGATTCTACTTTACAGCGATCTGCAGGGAACAAAATAAATGTGATTATTTTATATAAGAAAAGTATTCTGTAAGACCTGTACTTTCAACATTTATAAACTAATATGCCCCACAAAATATAACAATGTTATCATTGTTTCTGTTTTGGTTAAATATTTTTGAATATATACAGTTTGGTGAGATCAACAGCTCCTGCCATCAATGGAACTAAAATAATTAATGCCTAAACATGAAAATAACATTGCTTACATATTAAATAAAGTCAGATATGAATAGGATAATAAAATGGTTTTCCCAAGACACAAAATCATGATTGTCCAGCAAGTAATACATATTTGTTAAAAGAGTGTCCCATCTGAATATCTGAGGTCTTTTGTTAACAAATATTCATAAAATCTTTGTGTTTACTAATAAACTTGTGTTTACTTGATATATATGCACTGAATTTGCTTAAGGTAATTTTCTTAAGAAATGAATTTGTCATGTGTTGGTATTCGAAGTCTTTCAATAAATATTCATAAAATCTTCGTTTATCATTAAGCTCATATAAACCTGACATATGCATCAAAATCCATTGCAATTTTCCACAAAAAAACGAATGAATTTGTTTATGAATCTGAACCATATTTTTTACTTAAAGCACATCATCAAAAATATGTAAAATACAGACCAGATCACTTTAATTAACAGCACTGAGTTTTCATTACCTGTTGACATTAAACACAGGGCTAAAAGGACTGCATGCTCCTCGGTAGTTAGTTGTAGTTTTCTGAGATCGTAAGTAAGATTCCACCAAGACTTCAGCAGGTCTTTCGGGAGATAAGCACAGGCCTCCGAGAGATGAACAGCCCGGCCTGAGTATGAGATCATCATCTCAGTCTCAGGGTCTTTAGCCCGGTACTCAAGGATGAGGAAAAAATCTAGTCGAGATGCTGTAATATAATCATGATAATTGAATATAAGAAATTGAATAAAATGTTATAGCACTATTTTTGGTGGTTTTTCAATGTTAATGGGGGGATAAAAAAAATTCCTAAAGTAATATTTAAATGACACAAACAAACAAAAACATAAAAAGCCTATGAACATGTAACTACAATGTATAAATTTTAAGCTCAGTATCCACCTGTGCTTTCTAACATCCTTTATTAAATTAAATATCAGCTTTGAATTTATTTCACAAGAGTGCTCATTAAATTCCAGATCTTGTAACTGAAGGAAATGCTTACCTTTAACTAAATTGGCTTTATTTCGAGCAGAGAGCTCATTAAATCAAGGAATCTTATTACTGAAGAAAAAATTTACCTTTCACTAAATTGGCTTTATCTCGAGCAGAAAGCTCATTAAATCCTGGAATTTCATTACTGAAGGCTACATAGTCAGCCATGGCTAACCCAAACTCTTCTCGTCTTGTGCTGGAGTTTTGAGTGCGACTATCCACGTCTATATTTGTCTTCTCATAGATCTCATTGTACTCTTTGGTGGGAATGGGGTCCAGTTTTCCGAAGAGACCAATTTTATCTTTATGCCTTGCCTGAAAACATCGAGGAGTATTTCTATCAAAAAATGTAATATATGAGTACCAGATACTCCTCCCTTAATTTTCAAGGAAAATTCACATAACCTGTTTAAGAAATACCAAAAAATCTGAAATGACTTGGAGTTAGTTTTATCTAATTAATATTTGATAATTTCGTTCAGTTGTATTACTTAACAATATGGATATTGAACAGTATTTGATATACATATGAAATTATTTGATAAAGTCAATATGAAGATTTATGCCTCATGAAAGTCAAAGTACATTTATGATTTAATAAACAAAGATGAACCAGACACAATGTAACTGATGAAGTGACACCCAGTCCTTGCCGATACTAAACTACTCACATATCCCACTTCAAGCCTGTTTTTGATCTCCTCATCACTAATTGATTGTGTGAAATGTTGTAAATGTTTGTATGCCTTCACAAGTGTTTCCACGACTTCCTGCACATCAGGTAAATCCGAACCCTCCGGGGAATCTGGATTCTTGGATGAACACTTCCCCGGAGGTGAACATGCAGACTCTGCACTACTGTAATCACCTGGGCTGTCACCACTGTGTTTCGTTAAACTCGAAAGCTCGAGTGACATTGAATGTTTAGAACAGTTGTCATAAAATGTGCTGTGGAGATGCTCACTAAGCGAGTCCGTACCACTTGAGGTACCACAACTCACATCAGTCTGGCTACCATCAATCTCACTTTTTATGGGTCTATCTGGATTATATCCAGAATCACAGTCTTTTATTATGGACTTAGCTGGATTACATCCGGAGCTGCAACTGTCCCATTCATCACCTTCCATTTCTTGAGATTTTTTGAATGCTATGATTCGATTTGTTCTCTCTGTTAAAGTGTAACGTCCCTGTCTGACTCCTACATGGTAAATATCAAGTGCATATCATATTCAATCATTTATACTTTTCAATGAAAAATGGTTTATTAGATATAAAAAAAAATTGTGATAAATTTTTTGGTCAGATTTTTTTTTAACATGTATCACAATTACCTTAACATTATAAACATTAATCCTGGCTGTATTTCTGGGTTTTGTTTAAAATTGTGAAGATACAAAATAGAAAAAATATTAGTAAATTGTTACTTAATGTACAAATTACTGCAACAAATTAGTGCAGGGCATATGTATGCAAATTCTTTGTTTTTATGGACCTCAAAAGATCAGTAAGAAAAGAAAAGGTAGAATCAAGATGTAAAGACTAGTGACTGTTAGTTTACATTTTTTGTAATAGACTCTAGGAAAAATGTCTTGAATTGCAGCAATTGTCAGTACTAATACATTTTTTAAAATAATTCTTTTATATCTGAAAAGAGGTCTGTTTCTGGGTCTAAGAAACAAATGCTTACATCATTCATTTTAAAAATGTGCAAACTTATAAAAACTAAAGTCAAACCTTGTTACCTCATACTCTATCGCTCTATGGGACCAAGAACCAAGGATACCAGTTATTGAGGTTAAAAACATAAGGAAAAAGTGGTCAAGACTTCTAACTTATTTTGTGATATCCATAGAATTCCAGATATCAATGTCTGAGATATCAAAGTTCAGTGTATTTTGTCTTTAAAATGTTATTAAGATCTCTCAATTACCATGATTACAAACAAACCGACCTTCTTTTGACATGCCCAGGGCAAGACATTTCTTCATTCGACATGCTGAACAATGAGGTCCCTTAGATTTACTCTCTAAGTCGCAGTTCCAGCCTTTACCACAAATGTATGGATCTTTCCTCTTTAAGTATCTCCTGAAAAACCCCTGGAATGAAAAAAAAAGATTTTAGCTCAGCTTCCTGATTTTCACAGATAAATTAGGTACATGTACACCTACATTGTACTTTTAAGCTGGTTCATAATAAGGTTGTAACCAGAGAGAAGAAAAATGTGATGGGCCAGACTGGGATTCAAACCCTGGTCCCCTGAATCTCCAGTCAGGTGCTCTACTAACTGAGCTGCCTGGCTGCTGGCAATCAAGCCTGTCTAACTGCCACATTCCTCCCTCCTTAAAGGTCTTCACCCCCAGCAAACACCAACCCAGGCTCTTCCCTGGCAGGTCTTTCACCCGTTACTTCCAGAGCATGGCCCAGCACCAAATGTAACCAGCGAGGCAGAAAAATGCAATGGATCAGACCAGGACTCAAACCTGTGACCCATGAATCCCCAGTTAGGTGCTCTACCAACTGAGCTATCTGGCTACCAGTGATCGAACCTATGTGTGACTGCCACAAGGTTAAGCACAGGTCAAATTGCCTAAGTATAGTCAAATTCTCTATACAGCATGGAATTTCTTGATTCTTTGAAGGTAAAAATTCACCATGAAATTGAACAACAATAACAGCTGTACATTATGATATTGTCATCAATCACAGCTGCTATTAAATTTAAAATAGAATCAAATGATCCTTGACCTGAATATACAATGGGGCAACTCGGTCCCCTCAAAAGACACCCTTATAGGGCAGTGTTATGTGACATTACATGTAACAGGTAAAATAAACAGGCAACATATCTCATATTGCTACAGAACAAACTTATTATGATTCAGGTATAGTTTTCTAAACAATGTTTCTCAGGTGACCTTGACCAAGTCCACAATCAATGAATATATATAAAGGTTTATGTCCAGACCTTCTGATCAGGAATAATTTTTCAAGGAGTTTCTATTGCTTTTCTGCTTCTAAATTATGGTGTAACTGCATGAATTGGAATTTAAAACCTGAACAAGGTATGACATAAGATCTCTGGGTCATTCCTTAAATGGACCATTGAAGAAAGAAGAATAGGTACACATATAATATATAGTCATGAAGAGTTATAAATATCACTGTTTGTACATGATTGTGTTATCATTTATAAATAATCTTGACAGTGCCTGGATCGACCTACACACAAGTTCGTACTGATGTTTTAATTGTGTCTATTTCTAATTTATCTACTAGATTGATAACATAATCTTAAAAATAACATCCAACTGTAGATTAAACCACTGTGTATAATATATTAACACTATACCTTGCATGCTTCACACGTGTTGACCCCATAATGTATCCCTGAGGCCTTCTTCCCACAGATTTTACAGGGGGGCAGGAGCAGGGGGAGGCTCTCGGGGAGGTACTTCTCCCTCTTTTGCCCCAGCCTTTTGCTCACTTTCTTTTTAACATCACCTCTCTTGAGAGGGGGGTCCTTCGGCATTATCAGAGACGGCCTGAAACATATAGTGTAAATGTCGCTGTAATATACCTTCAGTCTTATCACTACATAGAGGATATTCAATGTTTAGTAGTTGGATATGGAATTTATTTCACGAGTGGGACAGGATTTTTTTTTTATTTTTTCACTAGTGCGAAGCACGAGTGAAAATATAAAAAAAAAATCCTGTCTCACTAGTGAAATGAATTCCATATCCAACTACAAAACATTGAATTTTCTGTTTATTACATTTTCTTTGATTTCCCATCTGCTTCTAGATCTGTCTTTTTTTAACACTGTGTCATAGACTGTGACGTCATAGTTGAGGGGGTTGAGACGTCATAGCCTAGAAGTTACAATTTTGTTGTACCATGGATTTTAGCAACATATTTGTGAAGAAATTGGCAATTTTAGTCTCTATCAAGATGATTTAGTTACTATCTCTATCTTATGACAGGCCAGAAATTATTTTTACTTACTTTGATATCCTTTCATACTGTGAGAGAATATCACTTTGGTATCCTTTCACACTATGAGACAATATCACTTTTATTCAATAAATAAATCACAGTATTTCACTGATGAAAATGTAATCAAAAAAGAATCTCCCATGGTTTGTGGTTGGATATGATTTTTTATCCAACTTTCTGTGTGTTTTTTATCTCCTTGCCAAAGCTCCAGGAAAACGTACAACTCTGATAAAAAATTATATCCAACCACAAACCATGGGAGATCCTATATATATATATATATATATACATGTATATATATCTCACACAAGAAATAAACAAGCCCAGATTTTCATAGCAAATGAAAATCATGCAGTGGTTTCTTTTGTAATGGTCTAGGAGAGAAATGTGATGGACCAGACACAGCATTCCACCTGGGCACCTGAATCACTGGCCGGGTACTCTACCTACTGAGCTTTCTAGCCAATGGTGATCGAAACTCACTTGACTGCCACACTTTCATAATTTATATACATGTATAGTTACTTTTTAGTGCCTTTGTGGCATTAAATTAATCCTTCGATTAATTTATATTTTCTACTGTTTTAGTGAATGTAAATTTCTAGAATACTTTTTGACAGTACATAAATATGCCTATTGACAAAGATGAACCTGAGCTGTTTGTACTTAGTGACCATACAAGAATAAAATTTATGAAATTTATGACACAATCTGAGGTAATTCATTAACAAACTTTTAAGTAAATAGCTGCAAAAAAGTTTAAACAAATTATTGGAAGACTTGGTTGGTAAAGCAGGAATCTCTGACACAAATTATTTATTTCTGAGTTAATAATTGATTTTCAATATCTCTAATTTTTAAAGGTCTTTAAGTAAAGCCCATGAGAAATATTAAAAGAGTTCCAAATGATATCCAGATGTCATAGTAATTCCTGTAAAGAGACTGATTAAGTAATTTATTATTTGTGCCAGTGAATAAATTTCATTACAGCATTAGTAACTGAGTATTTAATACACTACTGTTCTTCCTTGTAGAGATCTATAGATCTAGCTAACACGTGTTCAATTTTGGGGCATAAGCTCAGTACACAAAATATCCCTCGCATGTACTACATGTAATATAGACATCTACTTCACTCTGTGTTCATATCTCAGTAAACATGCATTCTTCTATTTGAGCTGATCACGGTTGGTAATTTAAATATATAGCATGTACATGTACAGCTAAACTTTGAACATTGAAAAGTCCTGACCTTTTAATTATTAGAGTGTTAATTCAATTTCTTGATTATTCTGACCTCTCAAATATGAATGGAATACATTGATTTTCTTTTAATTTTAACTAACACAATATTTTTCATATTTTTGAAGCCATTCAAAAAACATTTATTTAAAAAATGCCCTTCATTTCAATCAACTTCTAATACAGGCTTATCTCACAAAGCACATTAATTTGCTAAATATATATACATGTATCAGAAATCACTGCATACGGTAATCAGGCAATTAAGTTTTCTTGCAAGAAAACTGTGGTAGTGCATGAATATAACTAGCTGCAGGACTGCATGTAGGTCTCTGAAAAAATATGTATATCAACAGACTGCAGAGCTACAGTGCCACATCCCATTGAAAAAAGTGTGTATTTATTGTGCTCAAAAAAGTGTGTTGTTTCTTGATTGATTTCTCTATATATTTAAACAGCCATCTCAAAATATTACTAACTAATATTCCTAAAATATTCTTCTACTATTTCCACAACAAAACATTTCCCAAAACCATTCTTAATAGCTCTCCAGGGCCTGAAATCAAGACCATTGAAAAATTTCGCCTATTTACACTAGCTGCCATTTCTTGCAGTTTTAGGTGGCATGATAATTTGGTCTAACATGCTTTGAGCAGATGTCAACTAAGAGGGTATAGTTACATGTATTTTTGGTCTAAGGAATGTTTTGAAATCAAGCTTTTGTGTAGTTGAGGAAAGAATTTAGAGAAATACATCCAGAACGTAGTGAAACTTTTCTGAATGCAGTAAATATACAAGATATATAGTATTTGCTATGTGTGGCACAGTAGATCTCTGGTTGTTCATTTCATTTTTTTTTTCAGACCAGTGAGATATAGATTTGCAGGTAGAAAATAACCTATCAGTTTTAATTTCATTTCTAGTTTTGCATTCCAGTCATTCTGTGAACTACATAAGCTAGAGGAGTTTACTTATTACAGTTCAAATTCTAAGCCAAATGTTTCAAGTTTTTGCATACAGACGGAGAAACAGGAAAAAGGTATTATCATGTCTTGAACTTTAGGAGACATCATAACTTGAAATGGATTTAAAATGTTGGGAAAAAAAAGAAAGGAAAAAAAAAACAGTCAATGAAAAAAAAAACCTTTACGACTCACCGTGAAGTCGGTTATCTTCAAACAACAGAAAGCATTTTTGATATAGATAAATATAAAACCTGACCTAGTTGTAAATTCTTCCATTACCAAGGAGCATGGACAAATATAAACAGGTGAAATAGGGTTTAATAGACGATTGTCTAGCTTCTCATGACTGCAACATGACCAAAAGAATTGACACAACATAAAATACAAAGAAAAAGAAGTGGATAACTCTGTCAAAAAACTGTAGAAATGTGGCCTTACCCAAATTTTTTGCAGCAAGTGTCAAAAATGGCATAGGAAGTTTACACTTACGTTAAAACGACAACACCAAAACTTACGGAACATATAATTCCGGATACTCTAATCGGTTTTACTGCGTTGTTCAGAATGAAGTTTGACCGCGTTATCTTCGAACGATAATAAGAAAATAACAAAAGATAGAGAATATATATTATTTTAATTCAGTGCGTGGACGATGAGTGATAGCTTCTACTGCAAAAGTCTTCATATACTGTTACATATAGAAACAATGTACATGTACAAGATGCAGACGTACATTAAGATGTTAACCAATGCCCTTCATCATTTAGTAAACATTTGGCTAAACTGTATATGGTACCTTAACCTTATATATGATACTAATACTAAATATTTACAACTGTATACAAGATGCACATCTACTGCTTAAGAAGAAAGAAAGAAAAAAAAAATCAATATAAAGTAAAAAAAAAAAAAAAAAAAGAGTTTTCTTATTGTTATAGGATGGGTCTAAAAACGCGTCGATATATACATGTACATTGTACATGTAGAACACTATAAGTGTATAGATCTCAGTTTTCATATTTCAGTTTTCCAATCCCCACCAGAAACGAGTGGGGATTGCTTATAAATTATAATTCAAAGATTGAAAAAATAGATATTGGTCTAGATGATATTACATGTACATGTAATATTAGATAGCTACAGGATGGGGATAATTCAATGTCGGAGAAAATGCACTTGGGTAAAAAATGATTTTTTTTGAAAGTTAAGTTCCTTTCCCCTTTTCATATTGCAATATTTACATTTGCTGTGTTTTTCTACTAAGCCAACAGTGAAATTGATTTGAAAACCATTTTTGTGTAAATAAACATGGAGAAACCCGCGCTAAAGTGACCTCACAATGAAACGACAGAAACGTCGATGAAAATATGACAATATATAGGGCAGCGAGAAATTCAAACACTGAGTATATTTTTAGTGCATTTAAACATGTAAAATGTAAATATAAGGAATGTTTTTAAGCTTAGTGTGAATTATTGGTGTGTAAATCACACAGACTTGCACATAGGCATATTTTTCATGAAGCGCTAGCGCGCTTCATGAAATATGCCTACGTGACAAGTCTGTGTGATTTACACACCAATAACTCACACAGAACTTAAAAATATTCCTTAATTAAATGTGCTATGTTTTAAAAAGCTATTATTCTTTTAAACACAATTATAGCTGAATTGCAAATATACAGAGCAAGATATAATCACTATCGAACATACATGTACGCGTAGGACTTTAACTTGAGGTCAATACTCAGTACCTTTCTTATTATCATATATATTATGATTAAAGTAATCGTTGTGGTTCATCTGGTGATTTCTTTCAGAATGTGTTGGCGATTCTGGCGTGACCAAGTACACATTTCTAGTACAGTTCACATGCATACAGAAAAACATAATAGATATTAGAGGGATAGAAGAAATACATGTAAGTTACATAAAGATCCAGTGTGGGAGTAAAACAGGGCGAAGCTTTCTCAGCCTTCTCATTCCTTTTCCACTCTATCCTTTCCTCTCCCCTTCCCCCACTCTTTCTCTCTCTGAACCAAAGGCACTTGTTTCTGTAATAAATTTTTGACCCATAGTATAATAATGACACAAGGTATCCAACTCCGAATTACACGGAGTACCCCCTCCCTCAGAATCGCCCTCATTTACAATTTCAGAGGACATGTATTGGCAAACTGTTTATACCTGTGTCTTCTACAATAATTTATCTACACAACCAAATATGGCATGCTTGTCTTTATTTTCTTTATCTCCGTAAACAGCGTCTTAAATTATTCTGCTCGTCGAGTGGAAAAGTCGAATTCAACCATGAAATGGTATGTGCTAATCCCGGGCAGA